TATAATTACATTTTATCTTCAAAATGGCATACCTACATGAAATGTCAATAAATGTTGCGTTTTGTACGTGAAAAAGGTCACCAATTATATTATATGAATGTAATCGTAACCTAGAGAGTCGTAATAATACACGGCACTCATATGTTTACACTTGACATTTTAATGAGCATAGGCCAACTTGTTTTTAACCTTTATTCTATAGGCATTTTTGTTTAACACATATCGTCATAAAAATGATCTTTAGTAGTGGTAGGTATATAGTATATTATATTATATTTACATATAATTATTATTTTTATGATTGATGTATTTTTTTTTCTTCATAACGATTTCTAGGTTGTAAATAATAGGTATACAGTACACACACATAACTTATGATGTTTATTATTTAATATTTACAATTTTATATGACTATAACCTTATGTGACATAAGCATAATATAATATGTAGAATGTAGATATATATGTAGATGTAGGTATGTATTATTTTTAATTTTATCACCGAAATTAACACTGAGATACGACACCAGTAACAGATTTGATAAGACCTAAGAATGGAGTTGGACTGTAGGAATCAAGTTCAGTACAACGGAATTTTAGATTCTGAATGGAACGATGAATGTATTTATGGTTTATTATACAATTTAACGTTCATCATTAATTGAATTTTAAGACAGTGTAAAATAAAAACTATTATAATATTATTTACTATTTACTATATTTAGTATTAATTACTGTTAATAATTACTATAAATAATAATTAATTTTTAGTATTTACATATTAAAAGGCATTAACCCAGTCCCAAGGGCTGCATCATCCCATTTCAAAATCGCCACTAGCAAAAGTAAAATTGATTTTTTTTTCTATCAAAATAGCTTATAATATAATATAGTAATTGAGTGTAGGAATGATAATTTATTACTAATTTGATAATATGGAGTACGATTAAACTGTAAAAACAAATAAAAATGGATTTAAAAATGTTATATTTACAGATTCCAAAGTAACATTTGATTGAGATTAGATAAAAAATTACAATAATTCATTGGGAGTAAATATTAGTATATAGTCATGGGGACAGAAATCAAGCGAGGTTATTGAAAATCAAAAGGAAATAATTGTTGCAAATTGGAATATGAAAATAATATACCTACTCTCTACATATATTATTTTACTCCGCTGCAGCGTTGCCAAATATCAAGTATCATTAATTATTATTAGGAAATGCCCAAACCCATACTCCTGCTAAAAAAAAAAAGAGAACCGTATATAATAACTCGTATTTCACTGGAAATCCATCAGTTTTTGTATTTTACTAATTAATTACTCGGTGTTCAAATGCAGACAAGTCCGAGATGGAATCGTCCAACCAAGAGTAACATACGTATGCACATAAACTGTACGAAAACACAATATATTTTATTCCTATTCCCCAAGTCGAAATCAAACGCGATTCAACGTAAACGTCCACGGTTTCAGTGAAGTACTCACTAAAAATAAAACAGGATACTATCTCGATCGCCCTGAGGTACAAAAGGCCTTTAGTTACATGACGTGCAGAGTTCTCCAGTGTGTGCTTACACCCTCGCAAAATAGAGAGCACAATGTGGGTAAATCATTCGCACTGCGAACCAATCAGATCTCTGAACACTGGTGAACAAGCAATTTTGCGAATCGATCGGCTCAACGACAGTTTTAAATTTTTTTTTTTTAAACAGATTTTTGCAGATTAACATGCAAAATATATAAAATATACCTTACCTACTGTTTTTGATGTAGAAACTCTTTTGTAACTTCTGTAACTTAATATTTGAATGACTATTATATTATATGATGTAATATTTTCATTTGTAATATTATTATGCAGTGGCTTCTATGGCCAAAGGCTAAACAAAAAAAAATTACTAAGAACTTGTACTCAATAATAAGTAAATAATAAGTTATAACCATTGTTTTATCCAAAACATAATACAAAACAGTTAACAGCATAACAAAATTTACAAAAGCAACGTGAAAATGTAAAAAATGTGTGTACTTAATTTTATTTATATATTTCTATTCAAGGATACTCTGCTGCAGTGGTATTTTATTCGAAATCTAATCGTTTTAATAAATCACAAGTTTTTTTTAATACTTATATTTACATAAATCCTCGCCGGAGGATTTTCATCGATTTTTTTTATTTGTATTCTACGAAAGTATAAACAAATTACCTAGTGGTATACTGATATATACATTATATATAAGTAGGTATACATTACACAGTAATTTATTATCAACAATTCAATTTCACGAAACATAATATGTTTTTAATTTTTTTATGCGTGTTACTATATTATATTATAGTCTACTAATTTAATGAAAGTTTAATTACATTTTTTTTATATCCAAAGTAGGTAGATAATTAAATATCTTCGGGATGATTCAAAACTTGAATAACATAGAATTATGCACGTCTTTATAGAGTTGATATTACATTGATATGCCGAACGACGATGTTTTTTAAATCATAAATAATAAACATAAAAATAGTAAAATAGTCATTTATTAATTCAAATTTTAAAGGTCAAAAGAAAATTGAATATAAAAAGGTTTTTCATCTTAAAAAATAGGGTAGATAAACTTAAACGACACTATTACGACACTAGGTAAAAACGGTACCTAAATCTTTTCATTTGATATTATACATCAACATGTGTACTGCAATAACCATACACTGAACATGTCTTCAGTCGGGTATTTTATTGCATTCTTTACTAACATAACTCATAACTTTTGAATGATTTACAAATCTTGTATTTTTTAAACAAATAAATAAAAAAAGTAAAATTCGTATTATCTTCCTGAACAATTTATGTTCAGCATTTCTAACAGAATTCCATAATAATATTACAGTTTAATTATAATATATTTATTTAACACATTATCATATAGCTATAATTGATATTCATAATATTATATAGTCACTCGAATTTACAAAATACAAATTGCAGATACAAATGAATTTAATTAATATTAATAATATATAGGTCAAAAACTCAAAAATGTATAGCAGAAAATGAATGTAATAAAATGAATTCGATTTAAAATGTTATTTTACTACTATTTTTGAAACATAAAATAAGTAGAAAATATAATGATAACACAAAAAAAAATCCATTAAGTATAATACTATATAAACGTACTTTAAAACATTATTTATTTATTTCCCAGGATTGCTATTTTTTCTATGTCTTGTGTACTTCATATAATAAAATATTAAAATCATATAAATACTATTATTGAACTATGTTCGGTCGGTGAAAAAGACATGAGAAATATACTTTTTTTTTATTTTAAATCTATCATGGTCTTATTGTTATTATACGACCTTCGTTTAAGCTTTAGTGTAGGTGTATATATATGGTTTTTTTATTTTCAATAGGAATGGGTAGATCGTTTTAGTTTGTGTTTTTCAATGATAATTTTTTCCTAACAAACAGACAGTTATTGGAACATTCAACTATTTATTGGTCATGCCCAGTTTTACTTTTGTGTACACGAATACGCATTACAAATATACATATTCATGCATTGTAAAATAAACATAAAATCCTGCGGGATTTAGTGCTCCCCTAACGGTTTGTTTAATTACACGCTAGTTATAATTCAAATAACAGTTCGCATGACCACCCTATGCGGCTGCTATACGTGTTCCATATTGAAATAGTTTTTTAATTGAAAATAACAAAATAAAATAACGACCCTAATATATTAAAATAATCATTATTGTTTACGTTTATCGTGTGTTTAATATATATATACATTATTATTGTATGTATTTATCAGTATACAATAGATTTCAAAAGTCTTAAAAACAATAATTTATAACTATAAATTAAGTGTTCTGACTCCATCTTCGGAATTAAAAAAAGTCTTTGAATTGATTATTCAATCATTATTCTAGAGCATTATTTAATATACTTATTGGTATAAAGTTCTAATATTGTATATTGCATGTAGGTACATACCTTATTGGTAGATGGAAACTGAAAATAACTACATGATTGTATAGTTAATTTTAATTTTATAACTAATATTGCATTTAAAAACATTACATTGGATATTGTTATACTGAAAAAATGTTATAAACTAATTATACTGTGGATGTAATTATTAAACTTTATTGTAAATACGTTTATATTATGTTCTATGTATTGCACGAGTTGTACAAATAAGCAAATAAGTTTCAATGATTCTTCCAAACAGATAAAATGTACTCCAAATGCTGTTTGTTAAAAACGCATATTTATTTCCAACAAGCCTATATTTTCATGATTAATGTATCCAAATCACATAGTATTGGTGATTTAAATTGAAATACTTAAACATGTTTTTAGTTTATTCAGTGATTGTCTTACTGAGTAAGACATAAAGTAAACCATCTTAGGGCAACACTTGCGACGGTTGTTTCAGACAGGTTTTGTTGTATTTAATACTTTAGTACCTACTTCTCAACTTCCTATCGTATAATTTAATTTAAGTAGGAATACGTACTATACAAGTTCATCGATTTGAGTATCCTTACTTTTAACTGATGGTATTGTTATTACTCGGATCTACTTCTAAAACTTTAAATATATAATAAAAAAAAAATCGAAAGAGATTAGATAATGTCCTGGAGAAGCCGTTAATGTTTAACATAAAATAGCCATACAGTAATAACAATATCTTATTGGTTTGCAGAAGAAAGAAAATAAAATAAAACGTTATTACTTCCATGCTTATATGTATATATACTATTCGAAGAACACTTCGTTACTTTTGTAATTTTGTGATAATGTGGTATAACGTTCGAATTCCTACTGATGATATTATTTATATATTCTTAGATAATATTCTTTAGATAAATATTACAAAAACTAAAAATCAATAAAAATAATAATAACGTCTCGTTTTTACTACCTTCATTTAATGATAATATGCGGTCAACAGTAGTTGTAATATATGCGTATAGCGTCTTAAAACGATTGCGAATGTTTATAACCTTTTAAAACCCTGCGAAAACTTTTAGCAAAAAAAGGATATGGGTTAGTGATCATGGCCAAACACCAATTTCGGGGCCTGGACTTCTGGTCCAGGTATCTCATCGATATGGACACGAATCCCGGATACGGTAGGTCCTCTTGCGGATTGCGCTCCGCTCCCATGCAGTCATCGTCGTCGTCCCCATCGTCTTCCGAGTCCTCCCCGTCCTCCTCCTCCTCCTCCTCCTCGTCCTCGTACGCTTCGACGTCCAGGCTGCCGGGATAACCAGCCGTCACCACGGCCAAGTCCGAGTCCGAGCTGCTCCTGGCCAACAAGCCATGGTTGCAGCTGGTCCGTCGGTAGACGCATTCCTCCACGCCGCCGACTGCCGAATGCCTCATCGCATATATTATATTATTTCAATAGCACAGGACCCTGAATGAAAAACAATATTTACACTTCATTATTTTCCAAACGAAATACGTCGACAGCTCGAATGCAAGGGGATCGTTGCACAACGTACATACTTCCAGGATACGAGTATTAGTAATGGGTACAGTGAATAAGCCGCAGAGGTATGTTTTTCTTTATATTTCCCAATAATCGATATTATATTTATTTTTAGCGACGAAAAAACATCATTACGTCATAGTTATTTGATTTTATATTCCTTTAAGCTTCATGCTCCGTGATTCTCCCATGCATGGCTTCACGCAGAGCACACAATCTCAATGACTCAATCCCTCAATAATACCCATGGTATATAAATCGAGTTTCAACTATATGTATGACCCAAAGTAATTAAAATCTTTTAAATTAAAAATAGAAAATTCTGCGTGAATAACGAGAACGCATTTGATACTGTATTTTCATTCATTTTCCAACTAATACCAATTAAAAACACTTAACATTAATTTTAAAAATATAAATTAACTACCTACCTATATTAAAATAATATTTATACATTACTTAGCTAATTGAATTACTTAGTTTAATCGTTTATAACATATAACTACAAGCAAAAGATTCCAATAAATGCGCAATTGTCCTTTTGTTTTTACTACGTATGAACAGCATTCAAATGTATTTTAAATTGCAGTATATATTGGACTAAATTGTCTCGACGAAAATCGGTTACGTTAAGAAAATAAAGTTTTTGCTAAAAACTTTACAAACACATTACGAAGGATAATAAACATTCGATATTTTTATAACTGAAAAATTGGATTTAGTTGAGATTCCAATTCAAAGTTCAGAATTCTGTAATGGTTTATGAACAAATGAAAAATAAATTATTTTGTTTTTCAAATTGAAACTAAGAAAGCCATAGTGTAGACCTTAACCCCGCTGATTTAACATTCTAGGTCATAAATAATAAATACATTTTAATAATAAAACAGAAAATAATGAACATGCAATGCTGTGCCGTAAATGTATTATGTATTAATTTTATAAAAAAAAATTTAAGTTTTCAAAATAATGTACGCGGCCATCATGTGCATAATATGCATGTATATATTAAAATCTTAATCTTAACAATGATCTATTCGTATTTACTTTGAACACACTTACATGGATACGTTTACGATAGAGAAAATAGTGTTTGGAAAATAAGAAAAGGACTTATACGCTGTTAAATATTTAAATTATACAAACGTTTGTTAAGATTTAACTTGACAGCTTGAAATGTAACATGGTCATTATTTTATCGTGACAGTTTTCATCTTTCGAGATAAAACTTATTATTTGGCTATGTACCCACCTATAAAAGTATATAACCAAAAAAGAAATACTTCTCATCTGACTTATAATCTAGATAATAATTGATGTGCAATTTAAAAAAAAATGTCGTGTCGTAATAATTGCAGGTTAATGGACATTTGTTTTTATCTTTCAGATACCAAATTTGTAGTACTAAGATAAATTAAATTTGTATTAATGTTATCAATCATTGGTTTTTAATCTAAACTTATAATATTATAAAACACATTATTTATCATATTTTATTTCATTTTAAAGTCATTACTCATTATTATTATTTCAGATTCCTTCTGTCTCTTTTGGATTCCGAGTGGAGTGATGAATGTATTGATTTTACAATGATGTGTTTGTTTTTTGTTTATTATTATTTCTTTTTTGTACGTACCTATACACGATTTAAAGTAGAAAAATACTTACATTTTCAACTTTAATACCTTTCCCAAATCCTAGTAGGAAAGTAAATCCAATTGGTACTTTTGGGTGGTCAAAATTAAAAATTCCCTACACTTTCCTTTAAAGAAATTGTAGAAATTTTTACATAAACCCAATTATTTACAAAATAGGTTTTGTTATTTTGAAAGGTTTATTGGGTTTTTTTAATAGGTTTATCAGGTTTTTTAATAGGTTTTGTACCTAATATTGAAAAACGAATAACTTCGAATATTTGAATATTTTCCCCAATGTTTACATTAGCATTTTATACACATGATGTTATTTTAAAAAAATATATTGAACATTTTTAAGCTATATAATATTATGGTTATATAATTTTGCAGATTTTTTAAATTTTTTTCCTATGAATGTAATTTTTTTGGGGTTTTGAAACTTTTACGTAAAATATTTTATTTTATATATTATACGGTGCCATTTAGATTATTTTACTATCGCCTATTTTATACCACAAACCTATTCATACAATTGACTCAAAAGATAATAACAATAATATATGATAGTATGATATAAAATATATGTACACTATCATAAAAATTAAATATCATTATTATAATAAATGCAATGTTTTCGTAGAAATTGTATTCAGTTTATCGTATTTCCAATAGTAAAATAAATTTCTATAGTAGCAATATAAATTATTATCATGAAATGTACTTAGTAATATTGGCTGACAGACCGTTTTCGCTCAGAATCGTTCTTCGTTTGCAATGATTTACTATTGAATTCAAATTTAACACAATATACATTACAATGACTGACTCAATAACGAGGTACACTCAACACCTACTGCACTGCAGAGCGGTTATAAACTTTCCTCCATTTTTTTTTTTTTTTTTTACACATTTTGATATAATAAAAATATAATTTACATAAATTCAACCAGTAATGGCTTATTAATTTTTTGTTTTAAATGGATATGGTTTTGACCACTGTTTAGGAGTAGCTCCGTATTAAATGTAGTTTTTAAAATAGCGTCACCACAGTATTCGCAATGCAGCGATGAAATACTGTAATCAAATAATTATTTATTGAATTTCAAAATATAAACCAAAATCTATTTAATGGAAAAAAAATGTAAGTTCAGATTTTCATTTGAAAGGGGATAATTATTGTATTGCCGATTAAATGTTTGATTAAACATAATATTAGCATGAAATAATAAGTTACATTATTACTATGCAAACCAAACAATTTAATAATTAATTTATAATATAATATTATTTCAAATACCACTTGTTTTGATGATAACAAAATTATGACGACGATGGTCTAATCGATTAGACAGCGCCGTATTTTTCGTGTATAAAAACCATTAATAGGTAAGACAATTTATTATTTTATTACCTATCACTATTGATTCAATAAAAATAAAAAAACAAAAATATTGAAAAATTAGTACACCACGTTGAAATAATTGCACACAACAATTTAAAAAAAAAAGTAACAGTGGCAGCAATAGCGAGGTACAAAAATAGGTTAGAAGTGGTATTTTTATAGGTGACGATAGCGGACTACAAAAAAAAACAGTAGCTTCCGAACCACTAGTTACAACTAGGTATTTAAACTAATTTAAACTGATTTATATTTTACAGGTTATCATATAAATACGGATCAAATGATAAATAATAAGCCTTATAAGTACTATAATTACTATCCGTTTTAAAATATTTGTCACCCAATATTTCAGACCTATTAGAAATCTAAACTAATCGTTTATAGTAGGTACCAATGTAATTTTAAATACTAATTAATGCATTGTAATTTAATTGTAACATTATTAAGACATATTATTAGAAATTAAAATATACAATGGATACGCTACTTGTAAATAATGCACATCAATCGAATAAAAAGTACACTCGACACTATCCTCATTAAAAAATATTACATGAAATATTGAAATATAATATTCTATTTATATTATTAACTACCTAGATACAAATATTTTCAATAAAACGGAGGTCTTTATTCCGGGTAGATTATTTTTAAGATTCATATTTCGTTATCAAAGAGTGGTTTTACATTATTTTACTTGTGTAAAAAATGTTCAATTAAACATCCTATTAATGCTATCCAACGTAGGTAATATAATATAATAATTATTATTGTGAATAAAAAAAGATTTTAAACTAAAAATATAAAGTTGAACATTTTTTATATTTTTAAATTTATTCCGCGTATCTATACTTGACAACAAAAATAAGCTCAACATATTTCATGGTTGGCTTATTGAAATTGAAAACAATTATTTTGTTTTAACAAATTCATCGTTGTAATTACCATGAAATTATATTATACAAATGTCTTAAGGCAATTAAAAAACGGTGAATCCCTCTCCTGGCCAAAAGAGCATCGGACGGTATTATTGTTGATTGTTGAATATGAATTTAAAAAGTTGAAAACTCCCGAACAATTTTCAATTTGATTAAGTGATGGGATATAAGTGTTCGGTTTAAAGACAACGTCATAAACAGATAAAATCCGTTTGAAATATAACTGTCGCAGACGTAATAACGATGTTTTCATATTAATGGATAAGTTTTCAAATAATACATATACTGAACAACCCAACATAACTATCTGGTGACTGCCAAAGTCCTGCCGTTTACAAGGGGTCGCCTGTAAATCGGTATTATTATATTATATTGGCTTTGTATGGCTTGTATATTTCGTTCGAGTTTTAGTTTATATTTTGTTCAAAAAAATGAAGTAGCCAAGAATAGAGTATAATTGAATTAACATTATATTTTTATCTGACATGTATTATTGACCATTAACTCAATGCAATTATATTATAGGTATATAAAATCATAATATAGTGTTATTAATTATAAATATAATATAAACATAAATATTTATTTCAATTATTTTCGTAGTAGTTATTACCAAATATTATGTACCTAGTTCACGTTAAGTACGATAATAATATAATGACACTATCTGTGTTATCATACTAATTACCTAACATTCAACTGTAATTACTACACGCAATACTTACGTAGGTAGGTATATCTACATCTGATAGAAATCACTTGTTTTCTTGTTCGTAATTAAATTATAATCTAAATTGTTTGGGTTGATCAAAGGGAATAATTACTATTAAACGTGTCGTATTTACTTAGTATAATATGTGGGTGATCTATACGGTGATCTACTGTGACAATGTGGTTTGGACAAAGACCGCACT